CCCATTAATTAACCTATAGATCTTCTTAAAACCTGTCAAGTTACTGGTTAAAAGGTTCCGCTGGCCTTACCGCGAAGGTGACTTTAAATATTGTTTGTTAAACAGTAATTTTCTGATTTCATGGGTTGACGAGCAATGTCGATATATTGGTAGATTTGATGGATTGAAATAAACATCAGTCATAAAGCATGATGCCAGTGTTAATTGTTTATCGTCTTTATTATTGTTTATTCGAAAATGATGAAAAATAATCAACTCAGGCCCCAAGCGGATTTTGTTTATCATTTTTCCCAACAATTTCTCACCCTTTTTATACGATCCACCATTATTCATACACATACGTCGAGTATTTTTTTAAACAATCTAAATGGCTTCAAACCACCAAAGAAAATATCCACAAATATTACATGGTATACAGTAAATCCATACAAAATACAGCTCTCCATATCACTTTGTTCCCACTTATCGTTTGTACATTTTCACACGCAAATTTAGATCGAGTAGACATTTAACATAAATGTCATATAATAATAATAATTATCATGTACAAACATCTGTACACTATTGAATGCTAACACATCAATAATAGTTACTGCAAATCATATACATTTCGCGTGACATATTTTCGAATGTTTCGTGGATATTATATTTTGGACAAATATTGTCTCTTTCACGAAAAAACCCCAAGAAAATACCAAAGTGTTAACAAAACAGTAATTCGAAATCGAATTAAGACATACACAAACATAAGTAAGCCTCACAACAAACGTATTTATTTCTGACACACAAACAGGACAACAACGATGAGGAAATATTAAAACAGCGAGGGTTAAAATAGTAAACAAAAAATTGTACCACCACTGGGGACATAAAACCATTTAAAAATCGGTGTCTTCATTCACGTCCACACAACTCTTCATGAGGTATGCAACTAAAAGCCGTCCTCGATATCCAGGGGTTACGTTCACTTACGCTCTCTGCACCCCTGGAATATGTCATAGCAAAATTAAAGGCTTAGTGTGCACCACCTTGTTGATGAGACAAGAAGACTAGTTCGATCCTTTGATATACATCAAAAGAATCTCGCGGTCGCGTAACGGTAAAAATTGATTGACTTTTAAGTTGGGTGTTGCCCCTTTGTAATCTTCAAAGGACAAGTATCAGCCCAGCGATTGGTCAGTTTTCTTTTTACCTGAGACCAATCAAACAGCTATCTGTGTGCCTTCAATTTTGCTATGAAATATTCAAGGGGTGCAGAGAGCGTACGTGAGCGTAACCCCTGGATATCGAGGATGCTAAAATCAAACAAATGTCCCTGCAAATGCCAATTTTACTTTACAAGATACATTGCAAGAAACTCTTAATTGATTACAGTACTAAACAACCGTATGATAATGATATTCAAGACAGGCAAAACTATGGCATTTTTTCTTAAATATATATATACAAGGGAATGATAATAAATAAAGCATATTTATGAGAGAAAAAAAATATATCACATTTTTATTGAATATGATGTTAACGAATATAAATTACCTTATACAAATTTCTTTAAATTTGTGTCGGGATTATTTCCATTTTCAAAGTACATGTAACAATTTCTTTTCATTTAGTTTGACACTAATGTAAAGTTTCATTATTCAAACAATTTTATAATTGAAATTACAAAGTCTTAATCAACTTATCGTTGTTTCTCTCTCGTGATCGTTTTATGAGGAAAAAACAAACAAACCGTAAGTGGTACTCGTGTGACGTTGAATAAGAACAAAACATATGCACTATGGGATACGGTTAAAACCGGTCATGTGATAAATGAGTTATATACAATTGTGTAGACGCACGCATCGATGTATGTTCATTTAAAAACATGATTTTTATATTTCATGCTTTAAACATTTCATGACGTATTTAGAACGAATTAGTTCCAATAAACGAGCTCCCCTATATGTAAATATAGCAGTTTGCAATTACGTTCATCATGAGCAGAGCATGCAATAGTAAACGATCAATTGAGGTGAAACCTTTGTAATCAGTCATCCAGTTGGATCCACAAATTTGCTCGGACTTATCAAGGTGATAGAATTATCAATAACCGGATTATACAGGTTCCGTACTACATTAAAAATGGTTCCCTGCTGTTCTTTACACTATCGAAAAATAAAAATAAAAAATAGTGTGGCTAATTTATTTCTGTATCAAAGTGGTGGGGAAGTGTTCGCGTTTTTTTGCGTTGAGTAAATTAGCGCGAAAATATACACACGCGAACATTTATTCATAGATTAAAAGATTATAGATAAATATATTTAAAAGGTTTCAGAATCATTGCCAACGCGAAAATTTCCACACCGCGATCAGTTCACAGGGTTACGACGCGAAAATTAACATTATCAGGCGAAAATTAACACACGCGAAAATTTACCATTTTTCAGTATGTGTATTTCGAGAATCGATTTAACATATAATGCTTATTATGCAGTTCATTCGCTAAACGCAAAGTATAGTTGGATATGTTTATACTGTTAAAGGTAAACATGAGAACCCTTGGATTTAAACGTCGACTCATCCAATACCAAATAAAGACTCAAAGTGCCGCTGGAAGCCTGCAGCAAATCCGAATAGAAGTTTTACGCAAATCAAATGACATGCTAGTGTTTCAATACATACTACTTTTCGTTCACTATCTAAATAATAATAATGATATATCTAATTGCAAGTAAATATTGTTTTAAGACTATGAAACTCAGCAGGAACCCTTTTTTGATATTTGTATACAAAAACAATGATTACATCATACTAATTACTTATCAATGCAATGATGAGCTAATTAATACAATTGATAAGTTAATTTTAGATATAACTATTTGATCGTTTTAAATAGAATAATAATTTAATTTCATTGAACTGATTTGACTAAAACTACAGTTAGTGTAGTGTGTTTGATTTCAACTAATTCGTTGATTTTAGTACACCGCCGAATTGTCCTGTCTCTGCAGTTCCTGGAACAGTGGCGCGTGATAGTAACCATTGAATTGTTCTACTTTCACGTCCGTACACTGGACGAATTGTCCGTAATTACCGCCGTTCACACAAAGTCCTCTTTGAGAATCAGCGTAGTGCCGGTTATACTTATCAGTGGGTGGCGAAACATTTCCTTGTTCATGCAAGACTTCCGTCGTCGACCCAGACAAAAAACGTCCGTCTTGTTCATCAGATGAGATTCTCATCCTTTTCTTTGGTAGCTTGTATCCCTTGTCTTCCTCTGCCTGTCTGTCTTCGGGCAAGCAATGACCGTTAGGGACTTCGTAAGACTCGCTCTTGATGCTCTGTTCGAGTGGTACGGTTGTCCTGTCATTAACCGGCTCTTCTTTAATGCCTTCTGTTCTGTGCCGTTCGATGCAAGCGTTTTCCATGTCATATCGTGTCCGCTTTAAGCTTGTATTTGGCGTGGAACTGTAGTATAAATTGCCGTCAGTGGTGTTTACATCCGGTGCTGAAACTTGGTTGTAACTTCCGTTTCCAGTAGAATCGGCTGGATGTTGAGCAGACTGGAAAGCCATTCTTCCGTTTGAGAACTGATCAGGGTGGTGCGGATTATGTTTGGCGACTTGTAACATATGATTTCCGGTACCGTTGATACCAGGTCCGCAGACCAGAGGATTCTGCATTACCAATGGATATTTATCTGGTGACGGAAAACCCTCGAAACATCTCCTGTTTTAATAAAAAATGAATAAATAAACAGATAAATAAATAAAACAAACACACAACCACAACGGATTAGGACAAAATATAGGCTCAAATTCAAAAGTAAGTAGTAAAAAACAGTTATTAAAGAGAAGCCGAATCATCATGAGGGGGATTAACATATTGTAAAACGGAATGTTGTATGATAAATATATACTGTAGTTACGTTAATTTAATTAACAGAACCTTCACATGACAAAGCCTACGCAATGCCAACGAGGAGGTACTCTTAGCCAGAATTTTTTTTTTTTCGATCGCTTCCTTCATCTTCTCTACAGAAGAGTGAAAACTGAAAGTCGATAAATATCAGTGGAACTCTTCTTCCCCATTGTAGCTGATGCAATGATACCCTTAACCTTAAAATTTGAAATGTTCATGATTGTCTCTAACAGTCACATGACATGTTCATAAAGAATGTATTGACTTTTAATTAAATTGGTGTTTATTTTATAGAATAAAGATGTAATCGAATGCGCCCCTGACCAGCAAGAAAATATTTTTCAATTTTTAAATAGCAATATTTACATTTGCTCTGCATCATTCCAATGCAATGCATTGCAAAGGCAAATATCGTTAAGAGACTATAACAACATTTGCTATTGTGACGTCACCAAATTTCTATTGTGACGTCATCAATTTCATTGTTGTCAAGATTGAATTTGCTGTTCAAAGAACTGTTCGAAATAACTAAATAAAGTGTAACTACTCCATCAAAATTTAAATATAAATAATGAATATTTTAGCAAATATTGTTATGGTACTATAACACACATTTCTATTGCTGTCGAGCTTTATTGAGTTTGTCATCAATAGCAATGTGTGTTACAGGACCATAACAACCTTTGCTTAAACATTCATTGCTTAGATAAAACAGTTGTAGTCTTTGGCTTCTGTTGATGAATGGATTTTAAACCCCTTGTCATGAAATCGATATACATTTTACCGACTGAAGCCAAATAATAAATTAACTTTCGGATTTTTTCTTAAAATTGTACACTTTATCCAGGTCTGTTATAAACTTACCCTTCATAATTTTCACGGAACCCTTTCGCGAATGGGTTATGGTCAATCTTGAGTTGGGTGATCTGAAAATGAAAATGATGTCAAAATAAATATGTGGCGTTTTACACTCACGCATTGACTTCGTCAGCTAATATTGGACACAGTTAAGGTGGGCTCCAACAGTATGGGGGATATCATTTCCAGACTATTTCATGAAATTTTATATTATTTAAACCTGGTTACTAATAACAGTGCCTGTACGATACTATACATTACAAGATTAAAAACGATTTTGTTCTGCTTTTAGAGAAATAGTTATTTTTTTACAAGAATTCTCTTTTCTTATTTGCGTAAAACAACTGGTTATAAAATTTATTTATTTAAAAAAAAAATATCAAATGAATGAATGAAATGTATGTAAAGTGCTTTGGAAGACTTGCAGGAATATTTCAGTCGGTCTGTGCATTGAGCAACAGTTCGACTCCGTGAATGAATTCTCGGTTGAAAAGTTTATATAATCGACATGTAGCTTCATATAATTATCAAAAGGTGTTACATAATTATGATACAGCTTTATAAGGCGACTGTAAGTGGTATTGAAATAGCTGTCTATGAAAATGAAATAGCTTTGTAAAATAACAAAGTAACTCTTTATACATGAAATAGCTGTATGAAATGAAATAGCTGCCGATGTAAATGACATAACTGTGTATACAATGTCATTATGTATATTAGTATGACAAGTGTGAAGTAATCATGAAATATCTATATGATGTAAAATAGCCGCATATGGTCACGAAATAGCTGTCTGTGATTATCAAACAACTGTATATAACTATAAAATACTATTAAAAATCTGTATATGATCATGAATTAGCTGTATCCACGTGTGAAATAGCTAGAATAGATAACGCAATAGCTATATATAATCATGCTATATATGTCTTTGATAATTAAATAGCTGTATATTATTATGAAATAGCTGTATATTGTTATGAAATAGCTGTAAGAAATAGCTGTATATTGTTATGAAATAGCTATAAGAAATAAAGGTAAGAAATAGCTGTATGTTGTTATGAAATAGCTGTAAGAAATAAAAAATAAAAAATAGCTGTATATTGTTATGAAATAACTGTAAGAAATAAAGGTAAGAAAATATAGCTGTATATTGTTATGAAATACCAGTAAGAAATAAAGGTAAGAAATAGCTGTATATTGTTATGAAATACCTGTAAGAAATAAAGGTAAGAAATAGCTGTATACATCTCACTGCTGACATGTTGCTTTACTTACGTCAGTGTTCTGATAAGCTGTGACGGAAATAAACTGTGTTTCCGGAAACGCATATGTCTGGAGGTTCTTCTGGTCATTCAGACCGCACGTGCCCACCTCAATCACATGGATACGAGGCTGGTATTTATGCATGGAATTCAACACAATCTGAAAAGAGAAAAATTGAATAAAACAAATGGCATTATTAACAATTTAAGGTTTTCATCGTTGAGAAAGAAAAAAATCCCACAGAATACTTTTCGTTTTTGAAGCAGAGTCTGATTAATGCAATAAAGCGATTCTAAAGATAGTTGAAAAAAAATATAAAAATCAGGAAATAGTCCTGAAAACTATACATTTTCTATATATCTATAAAGAAATATTCGCGTGTGGGTATTTTCGCTGTAATTAACTCAAAGCGTTAACGCGGGAATTTTCACACTGCGAAAATTTCCACTTTTACATCATGTAACAAGAGTTAAAAGCAATAATCATATTAAAACATGAATATTTAATATGAGGTAGTCAGAAATCGATATGGTGAATACAATAGTTTTATTTAGAGGTACCAGAAAACCAAGTAAGTTGGTTTCCCAATCCCACAAAAAAAGTCTGGTGCCCCAGAATATCAGTATTAAATAAATACGACAGTAATAAAGCAGTCTATGTTTGTACAGGTTAGAATAAAAACATATCAATGAATAAGATACTACTAACAATTTTACAAGTACATAACCATGACCAATCACCACGGGCAAAGTAAAGTAATGTGCCGAATGGAGAGATTGCATTGTGTTTAAAGGGACAAGAGCACTACTGAAGTACAATATCAGTGAACATAGATATAAAACGCATCATGAGCTAGCCGAGAAATAACATATGATGTTAGTATATATAATATATAGAGGGACCGGACATACAAGGGTTCTGGTCCATCATAACTTAGATTATTAGTGCACAATTAGTGGGTAAAACACGACATCAAATTACAAATAATTAATAATAATTCGAGGTTCTTATATACCGCTTTATCACAATCTAGTTCGTAGGTCGTCTCAACGCGGTTCACAAATTATTATCCGTGGTTATAGGGCCTTTGCAACCAGCCAATATCTTTCTCAACTCCCTCAGAGCATACAGCCGGTACTGCCAGTTCGGCGCTCACAGCTAGCATTCTACAATTCTTGCACTGCCCAAACACGTACTCATTTACAGCTGAGTAGACTGGAACAATCGGAGTAAATTATCTTGCTCAAAGGCTTCCTACCACTAGACTACCGTGCCTCCGAAATTAGCATGTAACTGTATGTTTACACACATGCTATTCCAGGTGTGGAAATTACCAACAAGCTGATACCAAAGTGTAAACAACAACACTGTGATTCGAACTCAAATCAATAAAACTATGGCAAAGCATGAACAAAGCAAAATTTTTGATGGAGACCCTGAGAAAACTACAAGGAGAATACGAGCAGGTGTTGCGAAATGAAAAGTGTATTTTCGATTGACGTCATGACACCAGCCATGTAAATCTAGGTCAAATCGATGTAATGGCATGTTCTCAAAGCAGAAACCGGAGCTTTCACACAATTCCCGGTGGTCCCTCTCGTACGTTTTCTACATACAGTGTAGTAACAAATATAAGAGAGCGAAAAATTGGGATTTCGAGGATGGAACGGGGGTAGTGCCAACGTAGCAGAATTTGACAGGTTGTCCCACACCTGAGCTGCCTGGTACTGACATAAAGACTGCTCTCCGCATCTTGCAGTCGTTATCCTGATTTGTACTACACTATTGTTTTTTTTTTATTTTTTACTCAGCATATCACGAAAATACGGATACGGTCATGCAGAGATTCGTGGGATATATTAAGATTAATTGAAAAACCTCGAGTGTCACATCTTTGATTCTTCTGACATGGAGATCGGTTATGTTGTTTCTAACAAAAGTTCCTCAAGAGGAATGGTAAAGTTGTTCTTAATGAATCACAAATCTCGATCCTTTAAAAAAATGTATCTTTTTTACCTTTACCTTACACGTACAAACATATCTTACAAATATCCCGCTACAGGGCAATAATAAGTTAAAAGCTATGCCAGATTTAAATAGGGTAATTTAATCATTTTTGTTAAACATTTACCAATTTTCTCACGAAGAGACTTTTTTTTCTTTTTTTTACTAAACAGTGCCGAGACGTGACACGAACCCGCAACCCTTCGGTCACCAGCCCGGCGTCCAACCACTAGACTACCGTACCTCCTGAGATTTTTATATAGAGATTTTGGAAACGTTTACTTTCAAAACCTTTTTATCAGCGTAACTGTTGAATATGCATATGGGTTAGTGTGTTGTCATTAGCATGATCATATAGGACACCTTGCTTTTAATTTGTACAAAAATAAGGTTCTGAGATAAAAACTTGGTCCCCGTCGCTGTAAATAAGACACCGAAACGGAGATAAACAAAGGGAAATACTTAAACAAATAAATAAAGTAAACAACCTAAACGAACTATCACAGTGTGCTTTAAATTACTTACGAGGCCCTGGGAGTTGTTTTTGTTGTTCGTTAGCTTGAGTTTGCTGAAGACAATAACTTGTTTCATCCAATGAGCGCCAGAGCTCGGAGAGTCAGGGTGCAAATAAACACGTCCAGCTGTAAGTAACAAACATACTTCATATAAACATCAAACAGAATGCCAAATAAAGGTTAAATAAAGGTCAAACACAGGTAGAGACAAAAGCCAATAAAAGCTAAAGGTCAAATGCCAATTCAAATGAATGCAGAACAACACATTTCATCTAAATGTGAAACGGAGGTAAAAAATAAAATTAAAAATTTGGCGTTATAGAGGAACCAAAAACATGTCATGAAATCGTCAAATATAGGTACTTAAGTACTCAACATAATGTCAAATAAATACCTAAATAAATGAGGAGCAATATAATATGCAAATGAGGAGTATTATAGCGTGGTTTCACTGTAAATTTACTGCATATTAAAGAGGGGATTTTTCGCCATTTACGGTATATAAATGAGGAACATTTTCACGATTTCACAGTACAGAAATACGGGGCGTTTTTTAGCAGTTTTACGTTGTATAAACGTGCTTTATAACTATATTTTACTATTAATGATTGATGGCATTATGACGAAGTTTTACTGTGTATCAACGAGGGGTATTTTCGCGGTTTTACGGTACACACATATATATATAAACGAGAGATTTATAATGAAGTTCTACTGCTTATAAATGACGGTACACACATATATATAAACGAGAGATTTATAATGAGGTTCTTCTACTTATAAACGACAGTACACACATATATATAAACGACGGTACACACATATATATAAACGAGAGATTTATAATGAGGTTCTTCTACTTATAAATGACGGTACACACATATATATACACGACGGTACACACATATATATAAACAACGGTACACACATATATATAAACGACGGTACACACATATATATACACACGACGGTACACACATATATATAAACGACGGTACACACACATATATAAACGACGGTACACACATATATATACACGACGGTACACACACATATATATACACGACGGTAAACACATATATATACACGACGGTACACACATATATATACACGATGGGCATTGTGTCACAGATTATTGCATAACACTGTAAGTTATCATTTTCAGCCAGTTCTCTTTGAAATGAAAATATTTTATACTAAAAAAGTGTTTACTTTAATATGGTAGATACTAGTGTGTATGTGATGGTAGTCAAATTGAAATCTATTAATTCATGGCACACGTAGACAGATAAACTGTCGTTTCAATATTTTGACAGACAGTGTAATTTCGATTAAAAAATGCTTTTTGTTGTCTAAATGTCAATTGACGAGGGGTCGAGATGAAATGGACATCGGTCAAAACATTGACGTAATTGACCACTATGGTCAATATAGGTCTTTGTTCAAACGTCACATAACCTATAACTACTGATCAAACTGTGCGACAGGTGATTCACTAAAAAAAAACGGACAGGTGAATACCAGCCAACAATGACCAATGGTCAGACAACAATGACCAGCGTCCACCGTTCCTACAGCCACTTGACCGCTCATTACCAGTAGATGCCGTGGCTAAATTTGTACAGAGTACGGAGAGGTGCTAATAACTTTGAGAACGTAATATAATACTACTGGGCGTTTCTACGCCAATCTCGCGTTTCCTGAATTATTCTGGCCGTAATCACGTCTGCTGACCATTATATTGCTAAACTGACCATTATACTACGGGCATGTGCGGTCATAATTAGCCGAGGATATTGTTGGGTAATTGAGCTACCTTATTCCGCTCAGCAGGCTATGACTATCCCGGAGTTTCAGTACAATACCGATCAAATACCCCGCAACAAAAACATTAATCATTTAATAATGCACCAGTCGTTGAGATTATAGACCTCGTTCACATACACTTATACAAAAACTAGCGAAGTACGGAAACAAGATGGGAGGTGGACTTGAGTTCGAACCCTAGTTTTTGTCCGTAAAGTCAACGTAATATGCATAAAACACAATTTGAATTCAATTAAAAATCATAATTTCAATATAACAATTGCACTGTTGAATGGTCAATGCGTCTGGTTTTTATTTTATATATTCAGAAAACATGCAAGGAAGATAATTTGTATATTCTTAAGAAAAATGTGTCATACTTATATTAAAGCTTAATACATGTATAAGGAAAACAGAACAATATAAATGCCCTCCCTCCTTTTTATATGTCTGGATCCGCGTATAGGATTAAGCCTTGAAGATAAAACATTAACTTAACATTAGGTTAATCATCATTTTTTCATGGATGCTCTGTTTTAATGGTTTTACAAGTATTTAATTTTTATGACTTAATTGTATTTTTTGATGTGTCGCATGTCAAACTGTTGTTTCAAAACCTGTATTTTTATGATTTTACCCACAGAATTGCATTTAAAGGCATTTTTTGCATTTTTTGATAAGTTGCGTATAAAAGTGATGTTTCAAAACCTGTTTTTTATGGTTTTACCCTCAGAATTTAATTTTAAGAACTTAATTGCATTTTTTTGTCGAGTCACATATAAAACTGCCGTTTCAAAACTTCAATATTGCATTTTAAGGCGCTTTTTTGCTTTTGTTTGCTTTTTTTGATGGGTCGCGTATAAAACTGAGAGTTAAAAGCAGTATTTTTATAATTATAACCTCAGATACGTTTTATAATGCTAACACACACTGTTCAGGGGGAGATAAGTCAACACATATCGCGATTACATAGGTGGGGATCCGACAGAGGATTTAAGGAAATAGGGGACAATGACAAAATTAAAATTGAACTTAAATGTTTTTATAGTAAAAAGAATACCAGATAAATTGGTTGTATGATATATGATACTTTATCGTAAAGACCAATTAAATACATTTTTTTTTTATATTTATCAGTGTCAGAAAAATGGAGACAAAATTCAGATTTCTGTGGTAGAATGGTTGACGGAGTAATTGGAAATAGGGGAGCGATAAAGTCGGGAATTTACGTACATGAATTTACAAAGCACCGACTTACTTTGTGGAAGGGGCTCGGCTTGTCCACTGGCCACCCATTTACCGCCCTGGAACTTCCAGTGGTGGGAATCAGCGAGAATCATGTCCACGAAAACATTATAATGTTTCGACGGACACAGTCCTATCAGGCTGAACTGCAGCGTCGGAAACATCCGCCTTGAGGAGGGAATCAAAATTAAAATAAAAACACGCAAAAGACAAATTAGTTAATCAATCTAAAACAGCAAAATAAATCTCCTGTTGAACTCTGAAAATAAAAAGGCCAAGAGCCGACGCCATTGTTCATATAAATATAAGAAATGGATGTTGATCTCATCAATGCTTAATGTTATAAAAACTACTTAATGTAAACAAGTAGATCAGATGACCGTGCCAATGGATTCAACGTTCTTTTATAATATTTCGCGTTTTAGTCAAAATGCTTTATGTCATAATCACTGTAGTACATGTTAGCTTCAAATTTGTACAAAAGTGAAAATTAAGAAATGTGATTTACTGAAGTCAGAAAAAGAAATTCTAATTATCAGTACAAATTCTTTAAAGTTTTATTAGACTTTGGAGCATCTAATTTTAGTTTGAAAATCAAACATGTTGCGGAATACCGGAAAAAAAGTACAAAAAGATAGAACCCCTCAAAACAAACAAAATCAATATCGCCTTTCATTTCTACACTCCGTAATGCTTTCTTAGTCTCACTAATTATAGAACGTGTTTTAATTTTGCCGTATTTCCACCAATGGCGCCGTTCCACCAGAAAGGCTAAACAGCACACTAAACAATACGTATCAGTGTTCAATAATTATTTATTTCAGTGTTACGGATCATTATTTATTTTTAAATGAATCATGTACTGTACATTTCCAAATTCATGGTATTGCTGAAATAACACTCGGTCGACGTCAAATTATGAAAAACAATCATATATACATGTACATGTAAGTAAATATTATAACCCATTATTCAGGATTATAAAAATTGATTAAATATTTGCGAATCATAATGCCTCCCTCGAGATGTAAAATTTGATTTTTTTCTCACATGTTTTTGCAGACAAATATTCCACCCATACGAGTTATAAATAAAATATTATTTTATATTTTGTGTTTGTGCTATAAACTTGCCCAGGTTGTACAAGATGCAGACTACAATGTATAGAGAATGTATTTAATACATACCTTTATAAATACAGAGTAATAATAAAGGGGTTTTAATTTGTTTGTTTCAACGAAATCACCGTGAACATACCCAGCTGTTTACTATTTTGGATATTAAAATCAAAAAAGCCTTAAAATCAGAGGGATTCCTTCAATGATATCATGCAATAAACTACACTCTAAGATTTAGAAATTTACTACAAATAAATAAAAAAACGATATTCGTCTTCCACGTCATTCTAGCTACATTCTTTACCTATTCTGAATATTACTTATCTGTGATCATATTTATTGCTTTTCATATTAACTCTTTTCTTATATATTTATTGTATCAAAGTGCCATGTCCCGGGGGCCTTTGTACGTTGGGTACTCCCGATCACTTAGAAACCTGGGATATGATACTTTCTTTTTCTGTGATAATTATTTTTGCTTTTTATTAATATTTGTGAAATGATTATCTCCCTTTACTTATGACATAATGTGTTATTGTTATTTTATTTCCGTTTGTCGCAATGATAGCTCTCAAGAGCTAACGTTCGTTGTTTACATGTATATGCGATTTTAAATAAAGGTTATTGTATCGTGTGTATACAATGTATACGGTAAACAATAGACCTCGTTTATATTTACAAAAACAAGATTGACATTGTGATTCTTATCATAACAATATTTCATCTCATAAATGTTTACTTGTGTATATTATAACAAAAGTGAATACAGTAATAATTACGTCACATTTCCGTTTATGTAGCCGGCGTTTGCTTCTGTTTGATACTCTTGGTCCCATTTACCATGAAATTGCTGTATACGCATGCGTATTATCATTGCAAAAGATTCACTTAATATATAGCTGTTCTTGTGATAAGTTAGTTGTAGTTACTTGTGCCCAATCCCTTGTTCAAATTAATTGACAGTTAAATATGTTAAAAGACGAAAATCTTTTCTTGTCATTATCGTTTTTATTGTCCATTGTTTCTTATGTGTGTTTAAAGACAAAGATGAAAAATATATCTTATTTCAGCATTAAGTTCAAACGCGCCCGCTCTTATTGTTTTCATTATACTGATGGCTTTTGAGGGTTGGATATCCGTTATTACAGCATTTAGGATATACACAGTCTCGTGCAAACTATCACGGGCGGTTTTCGTTCCCTAATCCCAAACCTGATCTACCTAGCTAAGTATGTTTTCACAGTAATTACCACCTCAGAACGAAATATGAACCCGGCTTTCACCTTATTGATTCTGTTTATATTCGCAGGTTTTGAATACGTGTAAGTAAATATATGTACTTATTGTCCTACTATGCATTTACCAGCTGTATAATATCAGTTATGTATAATACGGCAACAGACTTGTATTTTTGTATAACTGCATGTTAAACATGTCATTAGACTAAGCTATATAATTGAAGTATACAAAAAAACTCTCACTTACTTCGGAATATATAGAAATGTAAATCAATAATAATACAATTTAATGAAATGAGTTTAAATTAGATATAAAGGCTGAGATGAATACCTTTATCAAACGGTATCATTAAAATTACACAACATAAATTTATTTAATATAAAAAAAATAACACAAACAAAACGACGAATCTATACTGTTTAAGTATAACTGAACAGGTTTCTAATCCCCGAAGTCAAAATATCGGCACAAGTTTTAGTTTTTCAAAAAATATCATATAAAAAACTGGTTACGAAGTTTGACTATAAAAAATGTTTAACACAATATTCATCAACGTCGACAAATCAGAATTACAAGATTCTCCGGAGAAATCACTATTCCCATTTTAGAATATTCAATTCCACTCTCTAATCAAGATAGCATTTTGCATAAAGTACAGGAAAAAAAATCTTAAGTATGTAGGCAAAACACAAATCAGTTTAAACATTGGTTAAGCCTTCACAACATCTGTTTAGAATACAATACGCTCAATCTTGTGTCTGTGCCGGAAAAGTCTTTATTTCATTACGGGAATTGTAAAAGTTGCCAACCATATGAAATTGAAATATATCTATATATACTTGTAAGACAAACATATTATTTAAAATACGTACTATAGAAAGTATTTAATTAAAATATGTAATCATTTAATAACGATAATTCAACTAATTCTTTTTTAAATAATTACGGAAACAAAATATAAAAATAGAAATTCTAAAACAGCATCATTATTCATAAAACTTAAAATCGTTTTAAATTAAGGCTGTATGCTACATTCACCGTACTCATTTTATGTGCAAAGTTTGTGCCAGAGTTATCCTATAGCATGCGAAACATATTTATAATAGCCACGAAAAGGCCGATAATTTATTCAAAGCATCAGGCCATTTGAGTATATTTAATTAGAATATGGAACAGTTTGTTATGCTATACTTAAACATAACACTACAATGAACACGCGCCGCTATCTGCAGGTCATCCTGAGATTATAACGAGTTGTCATCAATCTGTTATTATAGGGATGGAACGTGGAAAAACTGCACGAGGATGAAATATAAACATACTCCTACCTATTTAACAAACAGCCAGATTATCACTCTGCTCTAGATCTATATAAGGTCAAAACAATCATATAATCACTGAACTGATCAGTGGCCATGGTCAAGCACGTGCCTCAGCATGACCTGCACTAAACTCTGGTCTCTAGTCAACGTGTTTTATTTAAACTGGTGGTGGTGGTGATTTTGGGGGGGGG